ACACCTTGGTATAACAAATACTTGGCACTTTCATAGCTCAGCCACATGGTATAACCTATACATGTGCTATGAAAGGAGCTTAATTTGTTGTTAACATAAGTTATAATCATGAATACCAAACAATATTTTTAAGTATTAGCATTATTCGAATGAGATAACTAATGTAATTATGTTAACAATTTATAATCTAATTGGAACCTCCTTTGTATGTAGTTTGCAGTTGAGTACTAAAAAGAGTTTATACTATACTTGTTTGAAATACCATTAGTGGATCCTCTAACCTTAACATTTATTTTTGTTATTGTTTAATCCTCACATTAATCTTGCAATCTCAAAGTCCTCTTTAACTTATTATTATTATTATTATTATTATCATTATTAATATTATTACTATAATTGTTGTTGTTTATAATTTATATAGTTAACCTTCCTATGATTCGACGCTAGTCTTACCGGGTTATTTATTACTTCAACACTCCTACACTTGGAAGAAGACATCAAACTATTTGATCATGTCAATAATCAGTTTCTATTTCACCATGTATGTGTTAGTTATAAGACTAATACATCTTATTCATTTATTCTAATTGTTATGCTTGATTATATTTCCTATTATATGTAAATGACATCTTAGTCATTGGTTGTAGCTCTTTTCTAATTCAATGGATAATTTATATGCTTCTTCATGAATTTTATTTTAAGAATTTTAGAACTTTTAATTATTTTTAGAATTGAAGTTCACTATTGTCTATCCTAAAAATAATATATTGTTAATTTTCTATCTAAAACAGGCATATTCTTTTATCAACTTATTATCACATTGCCTTTTATCTTCTTTAAGCTTTTAACTTCTAATGGTGTAAAAGGTAACGTTTGAGTTAAAATTGTCAAATTGTAAGGGTTCTTCATTATTTGGAAATACGTCACTTAAATATTTGTTACTTGATTAATAAGATTTTTATTCTTTGATTAAAAATCACTTATATGTGATAAAATGAATCTTTATGTATCTTTTATCTATAGTTGACAATGACTTGTTCTTAAGTATAGATTTTGTTCTTCAACTTCATGCTTTTATAGATGTTAATTAGGTTGATAGTTATGATAATTGCAGGTCACAAAATGGATATAATAATTATCTTGGATATAATCTCATTTCTTGTAAGTCTAGGAAGCAATAAAATATGATTCATTCTTTTACCAAGGTTAAGTAAAAGGCTATTGTAAATGGGATTATTGATCCTCTTTCAATTCAATTATTTTTTGATGAAATTTTTATTGCTTACCCTTGTCTATAATAATTTATGTGTCATCTATCTATTTGCTAATCTAATTTTTCATACTCAAACCATGCATGTTGAAGTTGATTTGTATTTTACTTGTTGTATGGTATCTAAAGGTAAATTACAAGATTCTATTTATTGTCTTTTTTTTAATATCATATTATTGATGTGTTAACCAATTTACCATTTACTACTTATTTTTATCTACTTTGGAGAGCGTTTGGAAAAATGAGTCAACTCGCGTTTTCAAAAAAATAAAAAAAATATTATTTTGATATATTTCGAAATGAAAAACACTTTTAAAAGTAATTGCAATAAAAAAAATATTATTTTGATGTATTTCGAAATGAAAAACACTTTCAAAAGTAATTGTAACCATACCTCTAAACATGTGCTAAACTACTTATTTTTATTTTTTCATCATCCATAAGTTTAAGTAAACACGAGCACGCACTGGTGTTGAAGTCTTTACTTTTGTCTAAACCTAATAAGTTGAATTTAAATTTAAAATATACAAAATTTTCTAATATATATATATATTTCAACCATAGATGATGATACCTATCTAAAAAACATTAACTAAATTTAAATACAGAAATTCTTCCTAAAATCTCTCTTATATTTATATCAATACACAACTAAGACCATATAAAAAATATTTGATCAATTTTATATTGCAATTTTTCAATAATTCAAATCAATTAAACTATATTGCATTAAATAGAAAGAATAAAAAATACATAAAAAATTCAAAATTTGGGAAAATATTTAAGAATAAAATATCTATTTTTTTCAAAAACCAATTCAAACTTTTAATGAAATGTTTGTTCATTAAAATTATGGAAATATTTAATAAATTAAAATATTTTTTCATGAAAAATTAAAGTTTTTAAAATATTTAAAAATAAATAAATATGAATGGTGAAACAAAAAGAATTATGAAATGCTTATCCCTTAAGATTTTTAAGTGCTTAAGAAGTTAATGACTTGATTTATTTCAAAAAAATAAATTTCAAAAATTATTTTGAAAAAAACCTCTAAAGTTTTCATCCATTAAAATTTAAAAAAATTAAGAAATTAATTTTTTTTCAAAAACATTATAATTTTCATATTTTTTTAAAAAAAGAATATTTGAAAATCTTCAAAAATTCTTAGCCATTAAATTTTTTTATAATTAAAAAAAAAACTTAAGAAGTTAATTTTTTAAAATCAAAATCTTGGAAAATAATTATGAAATAATAAAAATTATGAAATCACTTCATCATTAAAATTATGAAAAAAATAATATAAATTTTAATTTTTTTGAATTGATTAAAAAGTTGAAGTAATATAAAAATTTTGAAAATTTTACATTAATGTTTTTCTTGAATTTGATACAATTTTCATTGTTTATGAAAAAAAAATTTCTTAAATACCTTTCACAATTGGTTGTCTTATAATTGAGTGCAATTTAGCTTAAGCAAATAGAGTTTTCCATTTGTCTCAAAAGGACTCTTTTACTTATTTTTATTTGTTTCAAAACCATTGTCGTGTTAAAATATTAGGCATTCATTTTACTATAATTCCACTAATTAAAGCTTATTTTATAAAAGACTTCCAATTGTGAAAGGGTATTTTTAAAAAGTATAGATAAGAAATAGTAACTTGGACTCTCCATGGCTTTCGAGTATTGTTTTATGTTTTTCATACATACAATCTTTTTGAGATAAGGAGTCTAAAAATTGATCAAACCTTTATCACATTTGTTCATTTATCTAATTGATACAAACACAATCTTCTCTTTCCTTTTTTTAGTGGGAGAGATTGTCCTAGGAGTAACAAAAGGTATTCAACAAAACCTAACTCAATAGGCACAGGTGTGTGTATTTCATCATGTATATTTCTTAAATAATTAGTTTTTAAAAATAAATTTATTGTTTGGTTTATGTTTTGATTATTTATATTTAACTATTAATGAGAGTTATGATGAAACTTAATATTTATTTTCGTATTGGAAATTAACTATCAAGTGTTATTAGTAAATGCAAAAAATAATCTCTAAACCTGATAGGAAAAATTCCACCCTCCCTCTTCAGGTTTAACCCGATTACTGTAAGAGGAAAATGATGATCCCAAACCCACTTCATCGAAAGGCTCTTGAAATGTGTAGTTAACATTTTCAAAGGGCTGAGCAACCAACCAGGCCCGTAGTCTTTAATGAAATCTCCATTTAAAATCTTGCACGTACTTAAGAACCCTCCTCGAATCAGAGCATTTTTAAGTTTTCATCTCATATTTTTGGACTCCACTTGGCTAATTTTGTTTGCACTGTAGCCACACTTGCTTCCTCGCAGCTAGCAAGGGGCAGGCATCGTCTGATTGATGCGAGAATGGATTAGACAGGCCAACGAGACACTCTGACCATGATCAAATCTTTGTTTGGTTTCAAACAAGAGTTAGGCGTGCTTTATTTCTTGTAACATCTACACTGTTGATTATAACAAGTTGGAAACACTGCCGTTCTATTTCTACAATTTCCTTGATGGAGCACTAAGAAAACCCCCAAAAAAATTCCATGTAACTCGGAAATTAAGCTCCTATGAAAAAGGTCTGATCAGATTTTCCAATACTTAGGCATCACCCCATCATAAAAGCAAGGAAATACCCTCACAGCAAACTTAACCATCAATCTGCTCGTTAAGTACAAGAACTAGAAAAAATCCATCGGCGCAAAGATAATGTTGAACGCCTCTTATCTTCTTTGCAGACTTCTACAAACCAACTACTGGAAATGGCTATACATACTAATGACTTGTGGGGTGCAGAACCACAATGAAGCAATACTGGGACTATAGGGCTATGGGTTTCCTGAACCCCATCTATGAATAACTGTTTTCTGAGCAAATTGGGTGCACCACCATCACTTCCTGTGTATCCCTACTAGTCATTTGAGGAAACAATATCATTTTTATCAGAATTAAGATTGATATTAGATTGTGATTTGTCACCTGAAGCCACTTCATTATGTTCTTGATTCTCTTTTTTCTTCGAATTGAGAAACCGACCCCCACATCCTCTAGCTCTTCTCAGTGCATGCTGATGCCGAGATTCATGCAAGTATGGCTGCAAGAATAATTTTGAGTTGTCATGAAACATCTAATGCCGTAGAGGACATAGTGCCACATAAACCGGGGTGTAACATGATAGGAAACAGAGGAGAATAGCCTAAAACTAAACATGTATAATCACGGGACTGTCAGACATCCAATCAAGTAATCATAGAATCACATTCATATAGGCATCGGATCATTCAAGAACTCCAGACTACTACCAACAAAAAATCATCTTCAAGCTTTCCTATGAACCACATTTGAGAGGTCTTTGAAAATTATGCCAGTGGACATTATTGACCTAAAGTAAGAAAGGAATAAAATGTCTGAAAATAATATGTAAGAGGAGCAGCGGTCGTGGAACAATAACAGCAAGAGATTCATGCAAGCCTTCTTTATTTTAGGTTCTAATAAATTAGGTAAACAAAACACAATATGGGATGCAAGCAGAATTAAAAAGGCTTCAGACAACCAAAACCATACCTTCCGAGACTTGATTGCTTTGCTTTCTGATTCAGCTTTTGCACGAGATTGTCGTCGTCTCAAGATACCATGATACTGTTTTGCATTAACAAATACAGGTTCCTCAACAGCATCAGATGGCAAAGGAACTCCAGCTTGCTGAATTCCCATCAACTGAAGATGGACCTGATTAGATGTACGCTCATGAGAGTTACTTGTATCTAAAAAAAATAACTGTTTGCTCATAAGTGAAGGCTAAATAGTAAACACTTCCAGCGATTATTTAAAGTCCCCGATGAACAAAAAAATATCAGATGCCCAACCCTGAAATAGGAGCCCTTGCAATTTAGCCCATCTGTCCACTGATTTCCATATTTGACCATTATAGAGTTCCACATAAAACACTAAATACCTACTCAAACCCCAGGTGAAACTCCTTTCCTATCTTCTCTCTATACTGACCCATCTCTCCTCCATTTTGTTAACTCCAACTCCAAAATAACTCACTTCCCAAAACTCACCATCATTGCATTCATAAACACAATTTTTTGGGAGTGAAAATGAAGTTGATTTTTGGAAATTTAAAGAAACAGTATGCTTACCGATGCTCCTGGGTCTGGTGGTTTGGTATAATATTCCCAACCACACAACCATCATGGTTCAAGCATTGGTACGGACAAAAAAAAAAACATTATGCTTTGTTGAGGAACAAAATGAAAGGTTGAGAAAGTGTGTTAAAATCTGGAGAAAAGCTATTGAAGAGGGAGTGGGGGAGGAGGAAATAGGTCCGTTGAATAAAGCTATTAAAGTACAGGTTTTTTAAAATTTGGCCTCAATTAAATGTGATCTCAAATTGACAAATCACAAGAAGTGCCATGTTTCTTATATTTGTCCTTGTTGCTATAACCATTAGCTTCAGAATCTTGATTTGCTACTCCAAGAAGAGAGGTCTTGACACAAGATCAAAAGATAAATTACCATCGGTTGTGCACCATAGGGCTGTGGAGGATATGGCTGAGGATCATATGGAGCAAAGATGCTTCTATAATAAGGATCTGGATATGGGTAAGTTGCTGGTGCCTTCAATGCAAAAAGAAAAAAGACAAAAGTCAGTATGTCAAAGTGCCTAGTTCTTATTTAGGTGGAAACAAGTACTGGATTACAATTTTTAGCATGGTTGTGGGAGAATTATCATTTTTCAAAATAAGCTTAAAGAATATCAGAAGTCATGATATGGAAAAAGAAAATTGTTGCAATGCAAAGTAATTATGATCTGCTTCATTCAATATGTTAATGTATTTCATTTTATATGTAAAATGGGCAGGAAGCTGAAACTCAAAAAATTTCCACACAGCCATGATTACATCAGAGAAAAAATCACAATCGCTTGATGATGAATAATGTTGCCTAAAAACATTAAAAAAAAATTTAATTCATGGAGAAATAGAGGTATATATTGAAAGCAACTTGTAGCTGTCAAACTGATTTTCCATTAAACTAAATTAAACTAAAAATGCCATTAACAGAAATGTAGCTATAGGGCACACAAACACCAGAAAGGCCGAGGCAAATACTTCTCTAAAATGCAAGGTGGGCAACAAAAAATTCTTGGTATACTAAGGAGAGAGAAAGAACTTTGTAAAACTGCATGTCATAAGGCCAGTACAGGTCCACCGTTTACTGTTGACTACGTTAGGAAATTCATTAAACATAACAGGCAGAATGAGATAATTATATTGCCAATGCATCTCCAATATTAAAATAATTACTTTGAACTGTTGACAATATTTATAAGCAAAAAAATCAAAGACCATACATACAGATGCTTTTAACAGAAAATACGTGAATCTTGCCTTCACACACAATTTCACATCAGTGATTAACAATAATTTACGCTGTATATAATACCATAGCATGTCCTGCTCCAAGCTGTGGAGTTGCATACTGAACATTTGGAGTTGAGAAGCCCGGGTGTGGGTGTGGGTGTGGGTGTGCCTGTGCCATTGCAGGAGATGAAGACTGAATCTGGGGTTCTGATTCATTTTGCTGCTCATCAGCTTCACTATTATCTGGACAACCAGCTTTCAAAAATATTATTATCATATGTTAAGCATCACACGCATGGAATTTTCCAACAAAAGATAATACTCGACCACACCAAGCTTCAGAAAAAATGGCTAACATAAAAATAGAAAGCATCCAAAGACAGTGAAAGTTAAGTATTATAAGCAAAGACACTGGGTTTACTCTGCTTAGGCAAAAACCATCAAGACATAGCGATGATTAAATAAACCTGCCTAATAGATTAGGGTCATTAAATCACTTAGCAAGAAAAAGAACATCCTAGGGACCAGTCAAATCCACAAGAAGCACTAATCATGAAGTACTAATGTAGGAACATGCAAATCTTATTAGGAACCTTAGAGTCAATGGGTTTGCCCTTGATAAGACCACTAATTAATAACTAGCTCCAGTCTATGGCCAAGGACTAGTTATCTGAAAAAAAAGAATGACAGCTAAAACTAATGCACCTTATCAAATAATTCCAAGAAAATCCCTAGCGAGGAACCAAATATCTCAAATATTGTTCTTCACAATTACAAGTTTACTCCATATTGGAATGTAGGTTTCCCACCAAATTCGATATACATGATATTCCAATGAAATACAGAAATGCTTATTATTCTTTCCTGTTCTTTTGTTATTAACATTATTTAGCTTGGATCCAGGAGTATTAAAGCAATGCAACTAGAAATCTCACTAAGCTGCCCACTGGAGCAAAATATTGTTGAGGCAAATTGAACAAATGATAGAAACATGAATCCTAATAGCCCCAAGGTCAAGGTCAGATCCTAATAATATAAAATATCTAATTGAGCAAATGACAGAAACCTAAATAAATTTTACATTCCATCCATTTAAAGAGAAAACGGTGTAGCTGAAGTAGTAACTTAGCAAAAGAATTTCAAGAAAGTTACCAGAAAGATCATGCAAGGAAGAAGTCATGGCTGTTATGCACACAGAGTCCCTGAACTCAAATCTGGAAGCACGGTTAACACCAAAAAGAAACAAGTCAAGGTGAAATTGGAGCATTAAGATGAGATGCTAGTTGAGTACAACACAACCACGACAAAGCTCCGAAGACACAATGATGGCTGAAAGATTGCATGCATGTGTGCATGTGTGCGTGATTGACAGCTTTAAAACAACCATACAACTCAAATGAACAATACAAGGCTGATGACATGAAACATTTAAAGATAGAAAAAATATGGACAAATAATTGAGGGTTTTCTTAAATCTACCGTTTCTTAAGAAAAGAAAGATTTGAATATAAAAGACAAGATCACACTAGAATAGTTCTGGTAGCTGATAGCTGTGCTATTCAAGTGTAACTATCAGGGTAATCCTCCCCAGTGCAAATAATTAAATATGTAGCTTTGTCTATTCATTTGCATAAGAAAAATGTGGCCAAACCAAACATCTTTCAAAGTTCTTAACTTCACGCTCAGTAAGGTTCTAATGCATAGACCATTGGACCTTCAATACAAGTGGTTCTTCTCTCCCACCCAGAGGGGAAGATCCAGGGCTTAAATTGAAAAAAAAAAAAAAAGCAGTTCTAACTATTCTAGGTGCAAGGAATTAAAAAAGAGGAAGGATAACCCTTCATCATGTAAATCAACCATTGAACAAAAAAATCAAAGAAAGTAACCCATAGCAGAGAAATTTTACTCAAAATTTTCCACACAAATTCAAATTATGAAAACAAAGATTGGCATGCATAATATTCATTCACTTGCATAAGCAATACATACATTGCAGAATTGAGCAGTTTTCTAAATACTATCATAAAACACGTTTCTCGCATAACACATGCTTAAATTAAGATACTACATAAATTACGGTGATGAAAGAGTAGCTGATCAAAGATTGTCCTCAAAAACTATTCGTGTTGAATAACCCAAAAAATATAAAATAGTGGTTTTCAATCAAAACAGACTCTAAAGCTTAGAAATTAATTTACATGATTTCCCTTCATATTAGCTACATGACTCTAAACAAACCAATAAAACGCCAGCTCCACTGCATCCACTTTGCCAACACGAGGTTACCTAACACCTAAAAAGCTACTGGAATAGAACTCGGTAACATATAGCTAATAAATAATAACTCATTTCTCAGAGTGCTTGTTCATATTTCACACACACATGTATATATGTATATGTATTTTTGGTGATGCTATTGCAGCAAGGCCAACAACATATTCGTGCATCACAGCCAAAAGCTACCACAAAGCCAAACACGCACTAAATCTCTCAACAACTTTCAACTGCCACCCCATTACTTGCCAATGAGTCATAAAAGCTCATTATCAACAGGAAATCTAAAACTGAATCAAACAGCTAATAATTCAACCAACCCCATCAATCCCATTAACCAACTCACTCAACTCGCCCAAATTGAACTCTCAAATAACTCGTATCACAAAAATCGAAGTCTAAACACACGATCTTTAAAATGAAACGAAGCCAAATGCTTCACATTCATTACCGGTTCCCTCATTGAAACCAACAAAATAGCATAATTTTCCGTTTGGTTGCTAAGAAAACGCATGCAATTCAAAGAAAAAACCCAAATATCCATCAGTTATATAAAAAACAAAGACTATGTCGGCAACCAAACAGCTTGGGAATACAAAAAGAAGAAGAAGAAGAAGAAGCAAAGAGAAAGAGAGTTTCAATGATTTGAATTGGGATTTGATTGAACAGAAAAGGGGAATGGATTAGGGATTCGAGTTTCTAAATTTACCTCATACACAAACTTCCTTATGTATTTGTTTTGCCGGGCGAGAGAGAGGCAGGCAGGCAGTTCAACGATCGGTTGTTGTTGTCTGTTGACGTTCGCAATTCTCTGCTGCTTGTTGCCGGTAAATAAATAAATAAATAGAATTTCCCTTTCTTATTTCTGTTTGGAGAGATCATAAATAGATTTCAGTTTTTAATTTTTGGAGAGATCATAAATAGATTTCAGTTTGTAATACACCTGCCCTCTTTTCACTGCTGCCTATCCAAACACAGCCTCTCTCTCATCCTTTCCTTGGCCTCCCCCGGTTTTTTCCGCGTACGTATTTGGCCAATAACAGCGGGCATTGTACTCCTGGTTAAGCCTTGATTTTTTAAATTCAAATATTCAGGTTATAGTATTTCAAGAATTTTAATTTCATTCAATTAATTAAATTGATGTAAAAGATCTACCTAAAATTGTTTTTATTTATTTATTTATTTATATGCCAAGTAATTCATTTTAATCTCTTCAACAAAAAATTAATATTATACACACATACACACATGCATGTTTGTAATTTTATAGTTTTATTATTTTATATGATTTTTTTATTATAAAATTTATTAGTTTTCTATAATACTCACAAAAAGCGAAATTATTTTCACTCATTATTAAACGTCATTGGAGAGAACATGATTATATATTAACTCGATCTTGACACAAGCGTTCAAGCTAGATTATGAGAGTTGATTCAATTAACCTAATAAATTAATATGTTATTTGGTTAATTTGATTAAAATTTAAATATTTATTTTTTTAATAATTTTAATTTAAAAAAATCTTAAAAAATATCAGTTAAAATTAATTTAAATTAATCCAAGTTAATTTATATAAATTATAACCCTGTTTTTAAACCAGATAAGTTGAGTTCAATAAAGTTGCTTATATTATCCAGTGTTGCATGTCCACAGTAAGTATATCATCAATAAAGCAAGTGGGGAAAGTATTCTGGACAAAGATAGAGGCGACCAATGAAAAGTGGAACATTAGCTTCTTTTCTTCTATATGTTCTTCCAACCTTTAACTACGAACCTGCATTTTTTTACTGTGAGTTTTAACAATAAAATATTTTTTTCTCTTAAAAAACTTATAATTAATTAAAATTAAAATTTTTAATTTATTTTTATTTAAATTTTTTGAAATTATTATAATCTTATGCATTGAATTATAAATTTTACAGATTAATTATAATTATTTTGGATCAATTTAATTATTTTAATATTTTTTAAATAAATATATTTTCTAATATATAACTATTTTAATATTAAAAAATATTTAATATACATTGAATGTATTACTTTCTCACATCTTTATCAATTTTTAAAGGTTAGAAAAAAAATCGCTGCCAGCAGGGTTACACAAGCCAAAAATCTAATTGGTTCTAATTACAGTAAAACAATCCCCTGCCATTCAACAAAAAAAAAAAAAAAACAATCCCCTGCCATTCAACAAAAAAAAATATTTTTAATCAAATATAATACACGTGTTAAATCCACCTTTATTTTGCGTTAGATAATAAAGACTAAAATTGAGTTTAAAAAAAAAAAATTGATATCATAATAGTATTTTTTTATTGTAATGTGTTTTTAATTTAAAAATATATTAAATTATTATTTTTAAATTTTAATTTTTTTATATTAGTATATTACAATAATTAAAATAATGAATTTAAAATAAAAAATAATCCTTAAAAAAAACACCAAAAACAAACACTGGCAGAAAGTTCGAGAAGTTTTTGCTGTGGAAACTGGAAAGTAAATCCAGTGCGGTGGATGCAGTGGGGAAGGAGATTCGGGCAGGAGAGAAAAGCTGACCGAGAATCAATCTAGTACAGAAGTACGTGGGCCCCTACGAGTGAGTGGGTGAGATTGAAGGTGAGCTCCTAACCGTTAATATTTCAGTACTGATGTGGTGAGGTGTATGGATGGTGGGGCCCAGTGAGAAGGAGGAGATTAGATTATTTGAAATTCTAGAACTTTCTGCCGTGAGTAATCACCATGCGGGGTGCGGTCAAATTTTCGTATGAAGTATTTTAATTTACTTTTAAATTATGTTCAAATATTGCATTGATGCACAACTTAAAATGTTATTTAGATTTTTGTTTGAAATTTAATAACAGTATTCAGCAATTGCTTGGAAAATTGTCTCTCGTATTTTATAATTAGTTGGTCAAAATTAAACTTATTCATTAAATTTTAAAAATTATAGTTTATATCATAATTTATTGTACCTAACACGTTAAAAAAATTAAAAGAATTATTTAATTACATATATATTTTTCATTTAATATTAAAAAGTATCTAAACCTATTAAAATTAAAAAATTACCGCCCCATGTACTTCCACTAAACATCAAACCTTCCCTTATATAAATTTAAATTATTAGATTAAATTGATTTTTTTTTTTATAAAATAAATTTAATGGTAGTTCACAATCTTACCATCCTAATTTTTTTTCTAATTAAACTTAATTAATAATAAAATCGCAGTTCTTTTCTAATTAAAATTAAATAATACAAGATAGTTTTAGCCTGGCTACATTTCATGCGCAAAGAAATTACATTTAAAAAATTATTTGGGAGAATAATATAAAACCACATTCTAACATCTTAAATTATTGAGTGGAATCGGTGTTTAACACCGGCGGCGGCGGGTAGTGTGTATCACCACATATTGGAGAAAATTATGAGAGGGAATGAGGCAAGGGTTCAATTTTCCCGTAGCTGAGAAACCTCCAATCACTTGTATGACTATCACAAACCTTAGCCTGGTGTATTATGAAGGAAAAACCCCAGAATGAACACAAGACGTGAACCCCTTTCCTGCGTCGAAATCCACTCAAGAGTCGAATTCCAAATCCACATCCAGATTCAAAGTGAAAAAACCCATTTCTAACTCCCTCTCTCTCTATGTGTGTATGTGTGTGAAATCCAGGAGCAATCGCAAAGATAATGGAGGTTAATTGGATGAACTAGCTGGATTCTCTGGGATTCGCTGTTACTGTTGACAAATCAAACAAGAATGTAGAAGATGCTTCTGTGATTTATTCGACAAAAAGAAAATACCTCCTCCCTCTTCTCTCTACATTCTCTGCAGACATCATGATAAAGAAAAATAGACTCGGTATATTGTCAAATGAAAGCAGCCCCAAGAAGAACCTTTATGCTAATAAAAATGATCATTATAACGGTGGAGATCGAACGATCCAGCCTTCTCCAGTGGAGTGTGAGACAGCACGTAGGAGGCGAGTCTAACTCTTCTTTCCTCTTTCCCAAATATATTCTGTTACTTGTCTGGGTCGATTCGAAAATAATATAAATATTTTAAATCTAAATTATATAGCACTCATCAGATCCAAATTACTTAAATCAAGGAGGTTAATAATAATAATAATAATATAAATATTATTATTATTAAATTAAAAAATTACCAATATTAAAAAAAATAGATTTAATTTGAAAGGTAGAATTTAAATTTTAAAAAATATTATTATTCTAAAAGAAAAACCATAGATTTAATTTTTTAGGTAAAATTTAAAATTATTATTTAAAAAAACATAAATTTGTTGTGAAACGATTAAAAACTATAAAAATCTACATCAAGAAAGTTTAATATTATTGTTAATATTATAAATATTATTATTTTATTATTATTAGGGTAGTTAAACCCTAGAAAGTTGACTATAATGGGGTAGCAAATCCAAGTAATAAGTTATTTTAATAAGTAAGTTTAACATGATCAAAAGATTGATATTTTTTAAAAAATGTAAAAGTATCGTAGTAATAAATAACTTGGTAAGACTGAGGTCGAATCACAAAGAGGTTAACTGTATAAATTATAAAAAACAACAACAACAACAACAATAATAAGTTAAAAAGAACGATGTGATATAAGATTAACGTAAGGATTATCAACAACAAGAACTAATAATCAGTCGTAATATGTGTCTTACAAGGACATCAACCCAAGTTATTCGGGTCTAAAAGGTGATGTCATACCCAAAAAACTTAGGTCTGGCTCAGCAAGACTTTAGGAACTTAGGAAGGGCATGAATAAACTTTTAAGAGATAGTATTTGATCGGGAGAGAGACACATGTTACTTGAGTTTGAAAGATGATATTATACCCAAAAAATACAAGTTTTTTTTTATTATTATTATAGTTTTTAATTTTACTCTTATTATTAATATTATAAATATTATTATTGTTGTTATTATTAATATAATTATCAAAAATTTTGAAAAAATTATTATTATTAAATTTAAAAAAAATATTATTATTATTATTATTATTATTATTATTAAGGGAGTCATATCGAATCAATCTCATACTCAAAATCCATATGCAGTCCTCTAAATCTAGCAAAGTCCAAAAGAAATAATTAAAATAAACAACTTAGCGCAGTCACATAGTATTTATACCAACCCAGCAAAATGACAAAGCACTTATACCTATTTAGAACGAAGAGAAATAGCAAAGAAGCTACCATCATCCCCTACAAAATCAACCAAAATTAGGAGCTGCTATGCAACATGGAACATTACAGGCAAGGCCTATATCTAACCACCGATCATCCATACTGAACAAATCAAGAGAATGTTAGGCTAACAAATACCATTGACAACAAATAACCCAACAACCCATAGCATGCCATGCATACCATGAAAAAATAGTAAAAAGCAAGTCACTCACAGCTTATCTTGAGAACTAACTAGCTCCTCCTCGATAAACATTGCTTTAATTTATAGTTAAAACATTCACAATCCATTGTAAAAAACTAAACACTTTTAGCTTTTGTTATAATTATGGTTTAACTTTTGTCCGTACCAATGGGTGTTACAATAATTCATTTTTGTTTGAAGTAGCTATTTAACCCAATGTTAAAGTTATTTATAAAAATAAATTAAAAATATTAATTAAAAAACCCATTTAAGTATTTAATTAAATAAACTAAATAAATTGATACTTATTTATATAAATAAATAAAAACAAAATTGTTATCAATAATAAAAAAATTAAGAGATAGATATAGGCCAAAATATTTAATAGTATAATACGAGTGATTTACTTAGTTGTATTTAATGAATTATTTATGAAAACTAATATGTAACAGAAATCGATATACACATAAAAATTATTATTATTATTATTATTGTTATTATTATTATTATATATGTAGAGAAAGAGGCCAGGCATTGTAGGCTTGGTCAATCAAACCTAGCACCTAGTCCATAAAAAAAAAAAATGGCTTGTGTGTGAGAATTTTTCTCCCTGAAGTTAATGAGATCA